ATTGCATCTATCTTGTCAGCTGCTTAGGTGGTATGCAAACTCAAGAGAACAGCAGTGGACTGGTTACCTGCCAAGAGGGATTGCGAAGTAGAAAACAGACAGCATGAGGGTTCTGGTGTTTTTGGTGAAAAGGTCTCCTATGATGGTGGGAGCAATGGTAGAATAACTGGCTTCACCGATGCCGACCAAACCTCGTGAGAGGACGAGGAGCCAGAAATACTGAAGGAAGAAATAAGAATACATTAATCAGTATTCAAAACGGTCAGTAATGAAACACTCTTCCCACTGTTACTTATGTTTGCACTGCTGGGGAAAATGCAGCTAATGAGGCTAAAGAATAGGAATCAGGAGAGTCTCATTTCACTCTCAGGAAGAGATCAACCATAGGAGGTTTATGGGTCCAGACAGATCACCCTTATCAAAAGATTTGGGGGGGGCTGAGCTGATGACAACTCATATTTGGGTCTCAAAGAATGAGCATAAACTCTCTTTACCAGAGTTGTCACAGCGTACTGCGTTGAAAGGTCAATACTGGTGCAACTTTTCAGACCCTTCAAAGGGCAGGGAAGATCCAAACCCAAACAACCTGGAATTTCGTGACGTGCGAGATCCCTCCCTGGATCAGAACGTTTCTGTTTTGGGCTGACTTGTAATTCAGGCAATGGACGGGCTGAGCAGGTGATTCTGAGATTATACAGTAGGGGGCAGGACGGCGGAAGACGTGCAGAGGAAGGATTTTCAGAAGCTCTCAGTGACGGTCTAGCGCAGTGATTCTCAACTCGTTTCAGTCCACAGACCACCAGGCCAATCAAAACATTTTTGTAGATTTTGGACAATGTTCCTGTGGACCACCAAAAAAGTCACCATGGACCACCAGTTGAGAACCGCAGGTCTAGGGGCAAGTCTACATGAGACATTTGAACACTCCTTGCAGCAGCACAGCTGCACAGAGGCCATTGTGTCGCTATGGTGTTTAAGTGAAGACACTCCTATGCTGATGAGAGAGCTTCTCCTGTTGGCCTCATTCATCCACCTCTATATGAACAAGAGAAGCTCCCCCACCAACATAGCACCATCTGTAGAGGGGGTTAGGTTGGCATAACTACATCACTTAAGAGACAGAGGATTTTCCCCACGCCTGAGCGACTCAGGGTGCATCTACACTGCACTGTTATTTTGAGATAACTAGCGTTACTTTGAAATAACAATGTGAGCACCTACACAGCCATTATTACAAATAATTTTGAAATAATGGGCAGCTTATTCTGAAATCTGTAAACCTCATTCCACGAGGAATAACGCCTATTCCGAAATAGCTATTTTGAAATAAGGCGTGTGTAGACACTCCACTGCTGCTATTTCGAAATAGCCCCTCACCAGGGCCATTCTAAGTTATTCCTCCCCAGTGCCTCTAAATCGAGATAGCGCATCCATATTAGGAAAGTCTGCCTTGGACAAATTTTGAGGCTTCCCTGCAGTGTAGATGTGCTATTTTGAAATAAGCTATTTCGGAATAACTACTCCGGAATGGCTTATTCTAAAATAGCTGTGCAGTGCAGATGTACCCTTTAGTTATAAGTAGGGTTGCCAGGTGTCCAGTATTCTCCCGGACAGTTGGGTTTTTGCGCCCTCTGTCTGGTAAAAAAATTCAGAAAATACTAGACATGTGCAATGTCCAGTATTTTCTGGTTGGGCGCCAGACAGAAGCCTGGCGGGGGCGGGGGGAGTGGCTGGGAGGCGGGGCCGCGATCGGCACTGGGAGCCTGTGGTAGCATGCAAAAGCCTGGTGGGGGCGGAGGGAGTGGCAGGGAGGCGGGGCCGCAACCACAGGCTCCCAGTGCCGATCGCGGCCCCGCCTCCCAGCTAGGAGCCTGTGAGAGCCCCCAGCCACTCCCTCCGCCCCCCCCCGGCTTCTGCACACAA